GATAAACAAAAACAAAATAAAGTATCGCTTCATGATGCTTCTCTTTAGCCTTTAGCCATTAGTCCATTTGACTGCACAACAGCATGTAACTAATTTAGCTGTGTTTCTTTGTCTATGAGGCGCTGCCACTCGGGTGAGTAACTATAGTGACTTCTGTGTACAGTCACAGACACGTTTACCCTGTATTCACACGGGGCGCTTACAAAGTCTGAATGTTGTTGGGAAAGTCACACCATATATTTTGTCTTTTCACATTTAAGCGTTGTTGTCAGTTTTGCAACCATGTTATTGCGTACCTGTCCTCAATCTCCTGAAGTCTCCTCTGAGCTGCCTCTATCTCCATACAGGAGCTCTCTGTCTCGGGTCGGGACAGAGGGGGGTTGGAGGGCTGAGGCAAAGTCAAGGGCTGAGGCGCTGGGCAGGGCTTTGGAGGTGCAGGGCTGGCTTGCTGTGCAGACAGAGACGGGCAGCTGTTTGCTGTAGGCCACTCATGACGATTGCTAGTGTTTGAGTTCTCTGAAATGTCCACTTCTGCCTCGTACATTAACCTCCTCCTTTTGGCACTGCATCCCCTGAGAAAACATTAAGATATTCATTATAACTCTCATATATGTATATATTTGAGTATTCCACGCATTGTCGAATGTTAAGAGAGACTGCTTTTTCTGTGCATCTTTCACTTACTCATCATCAACTCTCCTCCGGTGCTTCCTGAGGCATCTGGTCTCCCAGCTGCTGTGGCACAGAAACACAACATGGCAGGTTTGAGATTGAAAAGTTATATCAAGTACTGCCAATGTATTTTCTGACATAGTGTATAGAGGGAGTTTACACTCCCCAAAATCCTCTGCCACATACCTGTTGGACAGTGTTGCTCTCTGTAGGTGATCAGAGGTACTCGGATGTCCCAGGTCAAATTCAGGAAGGCTTGTCGGGCCTGAAAATGAATACATGGCTGGCAGGAACCTCACTCCACTGCTTGTGAGAGCAGAGTGATGCATAAAGGTGGTCCAGTCGAGGAAACGATTTGGAGAGACAAACCGGTGACGGATCTGATGATCAGATAAGCTGACGGTGTTTTCTGTAACCTACATGACGCACAAGTTATAAATATGTCTGGATCGCGCTAGCTACAATGCCACTGTAAATATGGCATTACGGATAAAACGGACTGTTAATATAAAATGGCACGGTCATCCCTGTGCTGTGTAACAACTTTGCACAAGTTAGTTAACCCGAAACATGCATCGTTGCAGACCGACCTGTGCAGCTGCCCTGCCCCTCGATGTTGTTGTTGTTGTTGTTGTTGTTGTTCTAGCTAGTCTCCGTCAGTTCGCAGTGTTTTGCTGTGGGATTCTCGCGTTAGCACACAGCAACAGGCAGTGCAGGGTCCAGGTCTTCCCCTGTTATGAGACCACCTAGAAGCAGAGGTGTCCCCCCCCCAAATGAACGGCCCCTGTGGCGTGAACTGCTCCGGACGTAAGCTGCGTTAAACGGACGTTAGCGAGTCGCGCCAGAAGAATCGTCAGGGTTCTAGAACGTGCGTCTGCTGCGTTAGGTGAATTGTGGGAAATGTAGTTAGTGTGGACGAACAACTCGCCACAAAAAGTCTCGCTTGTGTTAAAAGTGAATATATATATATATATATATATATATATATAAATGTAAACGTGTCAATGGTTAAAACACACGGTGAGACCGAGAAGCAACGTTAGTGGAGAAGTATGTGTTGATGCGTTAACTCCAGTTAAAGCTAACGTTACTTAGTTAGTTAATGTCAGTTAGACTCTGGCGCAGCCGTTGACCGGAGAACGATGTTCTGTATATGCAAAGCAAGATAGACACCTGCCTCTTAGTTTGTATCCTACTGTCAATGGTATGCTCACATTACCAAAGAGTACATGCGATTGAGAGCATAATCTTCTCCCACATCCGGGTTATGGGCCGACCCACAGCTGTGTTTAAAGGGCCCATCTTGCTTTTTTCATCGCTTTGTCATCTCAAATGACGAGTCATGTGACATTGAAATACTAGGAGCTGTTGTCTCTGCCTGTGTTCTTACTCAACTCTGATTCCTCACACTGGAGTCACACTGAGCAGGTAAAACACCGCTGTTTACTGCAACATTTAAAAAAGCGTACAGATTAAACACCTGGCTGCTGTAATAATATTATAATAACGGTGTTATAACATTTAACTTACAACGCTGAGTAGATAT